AGTTGTAGATAATTTTAAATATTTAGGAGTAAGTTTTTGTAAAAATGGTTCATTTAACACAAATGTCAAAGAATTATCTCAAAAAGCAACAAAAGCTATGTATGGTGTTATTGGAAAATGTAGAAAACACAACCTTAATGTAGAATGCACATTGGATATGTTTGACAAAATTGTAAAAACTATAGTTTTATATGGATGTGAAGTGTGGGGTTTTATTCAGTCACCATTGATTGAAAAATTGCATTTAAAATTTTGTAAGCATATTTTGCATGTAAAATCATCAACACCAAATTTTATGGTGTATGGCGAATTAGGTAGATACACTATTACAATTAATATAAAGGTTAGAATGATAAGTTTTTGGTGTAAACTATCTTTTTTACAAAGGGATAAATTATCATCGACTTTGTTAAGTGTTTTAAAAAACTACAATAATCCATGGTGTAACTTTGTCAAATCTATATTGAATGAATGTGGACTTTCTTATATTTGGCATACTTGTCAACCTGTAAATGTATCATGGCTGAAGAAAATAGTGTTTAACACTCTGTATGACCAGTTTAAACAGAAGTGGTATAGTGAAATGTTTAATTCGTCTAAAGGTCTCAATTATAGAATATATAAAACTTCATTTTGTCTAGAAAAGTATTTAGTATCTTTGCCTTTTAAGTACTGGAAAATATTTTGTAGGTTCAGAACTTGTAATAATAAATTACCAATTGAAGTTGGAAGATGGCATAATGTACCAAGAGAAAACCGAATTTGTAGATTATGTTCCAAAAATGAAATTGGTGATGAATTTCACTACTTATTTAATTGTAATGATTCACTTATCTTAAATTCAAGGTTATTATTATTATCAAAATATTACTATTCACATCCAAATGTGTATAAGTTTGATCAACTTTTTAATACAAAAAATTTAGTTAAATTGACAAAACTGTGTAAATTTGTAAAAATTATTTTTGAGAGAGTTGGCTCTACTGGTTAGTTCATTGTTAGTTTTGTTACTTTGTACTTTTTTTCTTTTTCACGCATGCACATATGTTTAACTATACTTGTAATCTTTCTCAACACTGTACTTATGTCAGTTTATGAGAATAAATTCATTGTCATTGTCATTGTCATTGCCATGGAGGCTATATAATTAGTATACTGTTAGTATTTTGAGCACTTTTAAGCCAATCATCGATCGGGATCATACAGGTAAATCTCAATTAACTTGTATATAAATTATAAACACCGTCAATTCATTTATCAGTTAGACCTACCTGGTTACTCTTTTTAAGTTTTTTTTTCGAGACGCATAACTTCTGATAAATACTTAATAATTACAGGTCTTCCAATTAAATGAATACCCGTGTTTTCAATCTTGGACACTCTCTTCTACTTCGAGTGCATTGAATAAAGCTTCGACCTCTTAATACGCTGTACTTGAATACTTTCACTTCAGTTATGTTAGTTTGAGTTGTCTCTCTTTGTTTTCTGTAAATATACCAGTCGTGCACGTGTGCCTAGCTATGTGTTTAAAAAACATGAATAAATGAATGGTACATTGCTTATGTATATAAAGGTTATTAAAAAACTATACAATTCATTATGTAATTTGTTGCATTGTTTATATTGATATATCAATTTAATAACTCTCTCTCTCTCTCTCTCTCTCTCTCTCTCTCTCTCTCTCTCTCATAGAGTTTTTGGACACATTATTTGTACGAATGCATTCAATATGATCTGGAATTTTAGTCTGATGTTTTTAATTTTTACGGACATATTCAATTCGTAAAAGATCAACATGTAAAAATTTAAATCACCATTTTTGGACCGAAATTCGTAAAAATATACAGCAGTAAAAATTACCCGTTATATTGTATTTTATTTCACTTTATCTCATATTTGTTTTAATCAATCGTATTCGCTTGTGCATTTATTAATTTCAAGTTTTATACCTGATGGAATCAGGTGCTTTGGATCCTTTTCATGCCAGCACCTACATGTACCACGACACAAGACCTTGATTTATCCGGTCTCATCCATAGGATCGGTCTCCACGCATTATTTCACAAGTCTCCAAATTTCAAATAAAACATTCTCATTGAACCTTTGATGCTTCCCCATAAAAAGGCTGGGCATATATTGTCATGTACGTCTCCCATTTTCCGTCTGTCCCTCCGTACCGCTTTGCGTTAACCTCAGTTCAAAGCTCAATTTAAAAGAAACTGTTCAATTTTTTTTTTTATATTAAACGTCCTATGCTGATTAACATTGATGAGAGCTATTTTCGTGCATCGACATATTTTGACTTTGACCTTTCCTTTGAACTTAATCTCACCTTTATTAAATCTGTCTAAAGAGACCATTCAAGATAGTACCATCAAACTTCATGTGCCGATACATGTATGTACTGATATGTAATGGATATATGCCGAATACTGTTCTATATGTAAAATTATCAGACTGTTTGAGGCCCGTTAGGGCCGAAAACTGTCTGATAATTTTACATATAGAATAGTATGAGGCATATATCTTACTTAAAACATTGCCATTTAAATGTCCAAAAGTTACCTGGAGGAGTCCGATAATAACACAATAGGAGTTTACGCAGCCATTGTTTTCTACCCGTCTGATAAGTAGATAAAAGAAATGAGACAGTAAAAAAAAGTGAGTGAACTCTTGTTCCATTTCACTCATTCAATGGCAGTCGTTTAGTTTAGCAGGACAGGGGTCAGGTGGTGAAAAGTTTTTGGGGGAACAATTTTATTTATGATGTGCATAAATTGACATTGATACAGACATAATTTTAGTTGATATTATAACCATCACCATGGAAAGTAAAAATGTGGATTTTTACCCTGAAGTTTTAGTTTAGATAATGGAAATATTCTCAGGTTTTAAAAGTGTGGCCATCGGGGAACAAAATAAGGAGATTTGCAGACTCTTTTGCAGAAATGGATTTAAATTCGCTTATTCAAAGTGCTGTATCAAAAATTCTTTTAAAGAGTGGAAAGTATTAATTTTGTGGAAGGGTTAAACTTGGATTTTTTTTGTAATGGATTTTTTTGTAGCAATTTGATTTCCTTGCGTTTGCTTTCCCAGAATTTGTTTCCTAACATTTTTATTGGGGGGTTCTGGACATATTTAACCTTAATTTCACTCTTCTTTTTGTTTTTTAAATACCGTCCGATTTTGTTATCATTGCCGTCCGATAATATATTATCAGACTGGTAATTATTATTATCGGAGGGCTACAGGTAAATTTTTAGACTGCAAGAACAAAGGCATGACGTCACAGCAATGTTTTAAGTGCCGATACGTACTATAGGCTACACGTTTGTAACTGCATCAACATTTTGTTTTACCTTTCCTTTGACCTTAACCTAACTATTCTCAAGTTAGTGTTTAACTCAGAAACATATAAAAAAATTTTTTTTTACTTGCCTGAAAAAATTTGACAAGAAAACCAAAAAAAAAGTTAAAAAGTTTCCCAAACTCAAAAATCCTATTGGGGGGGGGGGGGGGGGAGAGGGGGGGGGGAGGGGGGAGGTAGTGGCCAACTTTTTCAAAGGCAAGTTATCTTCACTTCCAAAATTTTTTTACTACTTTTACTACATTTTCCTACAATTCCTTCATATCACTATACTATGGTAAAAAGTGGGAAGGCCAACCATCCTTTCAATTAACATTTCCTATACTAAAGGTAATGTTGATGAAAAAAGTGCCCCCCCCCCCCCAGGATGCTACATCCCTGTAATTCAGTTAGTATTTAGCTCAGACAGTTCTGAAGAAAAATATATATTTTTACTCAACTTTATATACTAATACACACTTATGAGAGCTATCCAAACCTTATTGTGGATTAGATGCTCTAACCACTGTGCCTCACGGGCGACCTTCGGTTTTGTAGAATCCATTCAAGACATTTTTATCAAACTTTAGTATCCTGATACATTTTCAGATGATTTTGATCTTCACTTTCCTGTGACCTTGACACCACCTGTCTTAAATTTGCAATTTGCTTAGTATTTAAGAAACCATTTGAGATATTTTTATGTAAGTTTATGCCTATATGCATTATATGAACTGATTTTTATAATCTATATTCATTTTTAAGATTTCAATTTTTAAGAAACTATTAGAGATGTTCTCAACAAACGTCAATACACTTATACAGATTTAATGTTGCATTATTTACTAATATACACTGGGCGGGGCATTCATGTCCTATAGATATATTTCTAGTAAAATCATTCTGTAAATCATAGTTTTGAACCTAATAAATTCTTTGGATTCGATATATGTTCAGAAAAAAATTTGACTGAACATATCCAGTCTTTTGGACAAGTCACTGTTACTGACAGAGAAACTTTAAATTCTCAATCGTATTTGTACCAGTGAAACATTGCTCATATAATGCAGGGTGGGGCATGACCTTCACTCAAGTTCAAGGTGGACTAAAGGAATATCTAAAAAAAAAAACATACGGGAACTTTTCCAGTCGGTAATACACAGATTATGTGTTCTTATAACAGAGTTTGTCATTGCTTGTCGCAAGGTCATTTAGAAAGTTCAAGGTCATGCACATAACATTCCTTTACAGTCTTTTTCCTGTATAAACATTGTAAGTTGCTTCCTTAACAAGCCTCTAGGTTGCTTATTTATTTATAACTTTAGAATTGTTTGACCTAGACTCAAGGTTACGTCTTCCATTCCGTAGCTCCAACGGAAGACCTATTCGTTGCTTTGCAACGAGCTCGGCTCTAGTTTAATTATTATCATCCTGATCATGCTAATTGGAATAAACAAATAAAAAATATTAAGCATGCCTAATTACTACAATATCTACATGTACAGGTATATCTATGTATAAAAGAATCCTGTGTTAAGTTATATATAGTTAAAGAGAGAGATGAAAGGGTCAATATAATTGAAAATCATGCATCAGTGATTTTTGTTTTTGTTTAATTTTCAAAAGGTTTAATCACATTCTGTTATATTTTCAGCAGATACTTTAATACCTGGTAATAAAGAATGGGTGAAAAAATTCTCACATTATCATGCTGCATAATAGTACAGGTAAGTTCAAAGGCAGAAGAAAATCCATTAAAAGAGAATTTATAAATACAGTTTGTTGTCTTTTTCAGCAAACAATTTAATGAACTTAAAATTATGCTGATACATAATCAGCATATTATGCAAATTGTAAAGGATTGCATTACATATTTTTTCTGATTTGCATGTAGTGCATTGATATTTGTCAGTATTTTTCATTCAGTTTTCTTTCCACATTATTGCAAATGCTTGTATTTTATTTGGATTAATTAAATGTAGAAGATTGTATTAACTTATTAATCATATTTGTAGTTCAGTTGTAACAAAACAAATTATCTGATGAAAGCTTTAACCACGAGAATGTAGGAAAGGATGTCAAGTCCAAAGAGAAGGTATGTTGATTACTGGTGATGATATGTTATTGATGTACATGTATATAGAGTACAGCAATAAAATAGAGAGAACAAGAGTAATCCGTAGACAAAAAATTAAATCTTAATTCTTTTCAAGAATAGACAGGTCATTATTAGTCACTCTGAGATAGTTAAGAGCAGATTTAGATTTGTTCAGGTCATATAGCTATAGGGTAGGGTGGGTCCACAGTGGGTCGGGGGGAGGTCAAAGTTTTATTCTGGAATATTTAAGGCTGAAGCATTCAAGATTATCAGGGCTATGATACATCATATTTTTTGAATGAATACATCCTAGTACAGAATCTCAGAATCAAGGGTAATGGATGCCATAATTAGAAACAGAATATTTATCTCGAAAGTCCTATGTAAATATTGGAAAATCATTTTGTTTATTTCTTGGCTTTTAAGTTAAGTACAGATTAAAATAATATAAGTTTTCATAATTAAAATTCCTATTTTATGGATACTTAAAGACGTACAACACACTGGGGGAGATAACTCTTGCGATTTCAATTGAACGTTTGACGTGATGTCAAATTTAACAAAAATAAAGCGTCAAAATGATGAATAAAACGATCCCGTCGTATATAAACATAGACCTAAATCGAAGGGGTTTTATGTCTATGATATAAATCATAAAAGAAAAATAGGAAATGGGGCTTGGCTGTGATTATGAGTACCATACTCAATCCATAAGTTTTTTTTTAATTAACCCGATTAAACTTCGTAAAAAGCAAGACATAAAATACCATCCCTTAATGTTAAATTCATTTCATATACAATAAATTGTATTCCTGATCAAAGCGCAGCATTTTTTTTTAGCCTATTTTGAAAATTTTAATTTACATTGCCGAAATTCTCATTATGTACAGTTAGCTATATTACAGTCTGATTAATGGTCTTTATTATAATTTGGGCATTTACGATATAAATATTGTTTTTTCTTCTTTAATTAAATAAAACAACATTAAACAAACAAAAAACTTTTTACAATGTAATCGATGTTGTTCTCAGACCCTTACTGATCAAAGAGGAACAACTCTGAAAATGTAGGAGATGTTTGTTTTCCTCCCTTTATTCACGGTTTTCCGATACATTTACAGCAAGACCTGATAAATCCGAGAATTGAGCACTATAGACTTCATACACACAATGTAAGTATGGAATTGAAAAGAATTGTTTACTAGTACTGTAATTATCTGAATTTATGAATATCCTAGCTTTGCAGCAAATCGTTTGACTTTCTGTCACTGTCAACATGTCGGTTCGCATTTCCTCGAATCAAAACAAAACGTTGCCTACAAGATTTTTAAAAATATCAATGTGCGATTTGATAAAAATTAAAATAGATGAAGAGATCAATGTTTGATATTTTGATGTTCATGTGGACGAGTACGGAATTTTCATTTTAACTTTCGAAGCAACGACATTGAAAGAATGCGTGTACTACACTCTGCACTGTAATATCGTGAGGGGTGTACATGTATGCAAATGTCGATATATCCCCACGACCACATACTGTCTCGTTTGAAATAACATGAAAGACACTATAATTATTCCATGTATATCACAGGAGAGTCGAACGTACACCATTTTTTTAATAAATAAAAATAAAGAAATAAAATTAAAAATCAACATATTCAACATATACGTAAGATGAATTCGTATCCAGGTTTCATGTGAAAATTGAATGCATAACACATACATATATGGGCTAAACACTAAAATCCTAAAATCCTTCGGTATTTTTTTCCCTGATATATATAAAACCAGTAGTAAATATTTATTCTGCATTTATGAATTTAAAAACTAATTCATACCTCCGGGATTCAAATCATAATGACGAAATACTAGTATATTTGCACTGTAAATGACGTCTCGTCAAACGCTAATGGTCTGCGACGCAAAAAATGAAGAGGTGGAGGTTGTAAGGGTATTCAAAAATTGCCTAAAAGTTTACATTTAAATACGCTTTACATATAAGAACTTTTAAATATGTAAGTTAATATATTTTTTAAGCAAAGCAATATTCCAATTTGATTTTTTTTAAATGTGTATTTGTAGATTCATAGCAAAGTAATCGACCCCCGTCTGAAAGATGCACGGGAATGTGATTTATTGAGAAGGGGAGAGGGGGGGGGGGTAATTTTCCGCTATTAAATCGAAACTGGTGTACAAAAATTATACAAAAAATAATGAAGATTATTTTTACTACCAGCTACCTAAAGAAAGTTTTTTACCAAAATTAAACGACAGGTTTTTTTTCACAAAAAAATTTTGAATTTGAAAAATACACAATTTACAAGGCTTAGATAATTCTTAGTTTTCAGTTTAAGGTCTTTAAAATTTGTTTTGTTGATATGTATATCAAAAAGATTGCTATGGTTTTGTGTTAAATGGTTAAAGGAATAAGTCAATGAAATTTGACAGGTATATCTAACCTGGCTTTTTCGTAAATCAAGGTTTAAGTAGTTCATTGATTAAAATTTTCTTTCCTGGTAAACAACTAAAGGGGGCCAACTTTTGGAATTTCTTGTCCAAAAACCACTCGAACGATTTTGTCCAAAATGTGCATACATGCAGTAGATATAGTCATGTACTAAATATACAAAAATAACGAAAACTAGAGCAAAGCTCGTTGCAAAGCAACGAGTAGGTCTTCCGTCCTGTTTTGACCGGAAGTGACGTCAACAAAAGAAAACAATGAGCTAAGTCGTCTCCAGTCACTTTATAATTTCAATTTTGCATCAAAACCTTTAAAAATAAGCTATTTTCTGCTACTTCCGGTTTGACCGGAAGTGATGTCGACGGACAGAAAATTAAGTTTTATGCTTCCAGTGACATATGTTACCCAAAAACTTGTCAAGAACGGTAAATATATGCATTTTCTGACGACTTCCGGTTGGACCGGAAGTGACGTCGCCGGACGCATTTTGACGACTTCAATAGATTAAGCTTGACATTTTGAACAACTTTGCTTCTTGGACATATTACAAATTCTCAATACTTTTTGAGATATCTGGAAAAAATTTTGGCCCCTCTAGATCCTTTAATTTAGGGGTCAGCCCTTTTTCCGAGATATCATTTGAAAGATCTTCTAATTCTGCACAAATTTTGTTCTATATGTCTTAACAAAATATTCTTAGTTTAGAAGATAAAAAGCAAAATATTAATAATTTTTAACTCTTTTAAGCGTTCTAATTTTTGACCCCTATATAGCGCCATTTTGAATAGAGAAATCGAAAAACAAAAACCCATGTGCACAACTTCAATCCTTCTATTATCTAAAATCAGTAGAATTTCTGCTCCAGCTTTAGCCGTCTCTGAGCCTTTGTCTGGAAATGAAAACCTATAAATTTTCGTTTAAAGGAAAATAACTCGAAACCGGAAGTGACTTTTTGAAATTTTCAACAGCATTCTGATAGAGTTTAGTAACTTCTAGTACCTCTGAAAATTTGAGCGAAATCAGTTGAGAAATGAGTGAGATATGAGGCTTCAAAGTTGGCGTCTAGGAAGTAGAAGAAAAAAAAAGAATAATAATCTTTACCAACAGAATCAGTAGAAGGTCTTCCGTTGGAAACGGAAGACCTTAATTAAACGACAGGAATTTTTTGGGGTAGGTGTGTTGTACATCCTTAAGTTGATATCTATGTAAAGTCAAAAAAGCTACAATTTTCAGAAAAAAGAGGCATAACTCTTATCATGATAGTAATGATGGATTTCAGATCATGTGAAAAATTTGTACTGTTGGGAAACAAGTGAATACAGTGCAGTCTAAATAAGTACAGTTAAACAACAGTATCTTAAAATCAAAAAACTTTGACTACCTAGGGTATGTTGACGTTCATGACAGTATTACAGATTGGATGAATGATTTGCAAACACTTGGAATAGCATATATATGATTTACTTTTGTTAATTTAATTTGCTCGTTTTGCGCATATCTCTTTCTCATGCAGATTATTAATGAACAATTATAGATTGAATTAGCAACCGATATGGCATAAATGTATATGAATTTATATACTCTGTTTAGAGTTGAACTTTGGTATATATCTTTGACAGTTGACACTGAGTGATATTTTGAACACATTGAGATATCAAAGTCATTTTAAAGTCCCTTGAACGACATTTTTTCTATATATCTTACCCTGAATCTCTTGGATATCTCAGTTTTTTTTTCAGCAGTCCCATGAGAGATTTCAAGTGTGACTTTATTTCATTGATTCAATTAATTTATGATGAATTATAAAAATATCAATCATATACTTTTATGTTAATGATTTAACATTTTATATTTTTCAGGCCATATAACAAATGAATTCATGAAGACTAGCTGGATTGATACAGTACTTTTCTACACATATGAACCATATCTAAACATCATTTGAGGATCCCTTTCTCGGAAAAAAAGAATTTGCATATTCAAAGACTCTATAGTTTATTGTTTATTTGTACGTTGTTTAACATTCTTCTTGAGAATTTTTCACTCATATGGGGATGCCAACATTTGTTGGTGGAGAGCTGCAAATTTTGTTCTTTATTTGGCACACATGGCTAACTGAGCATTATGAGCAATGAGGGATCTTTTTGGTACTAGCACCTACTGCAACACAGGACCTCTGTATATACAGTCTCATCTATGTCCGACTGTGGGATTTCGAACCAGCAATTTATGGATCAACTCCTTACTCATGACTCTCGAGCAGATGCTCTTGCCACTGTGCCATACAGGTGACTTCATAGGTTATAAAATGATAAGATAAGATTTATAACTTAACACTGATTTTTTTAAAAATTTAATCACGGTACAGAAAATGTTTGCAAAAAAGGGAGGTTATAGCTACATGTAGCTCTCACTTGTATTGCATGCTTAAACTATATGAATTACATATTGTAATTACACATGTATTTTAAACCAGACCAGTAAAGAAAGAAACACTTGAATATTTTGACTATAAATTTTATTATAAGGTTGATTATCTTTAAAAAATGGAACTTTAATTTTTTTGAGTAGGAAAAAAAAATATTTAGAATGTACATGTGCACTTAATTTTGTTTATTAAAAATAGTCAAAATTTGGAGATCTTGTTAAGGGTATCTAAATATTGATTTATAAATTTTTACTTCATTTTTAAACAGCATAATCTTTATTATACCATATGTCTGTAATATACAACTTATTTGTTGTTGAACATTCCATTGTCTGTCTACATGTAGTGCTTAGTAAATTTATTGTAAATTAAAAAAACATGATTGCATGCTGTTTGTTTACTTTGTCTTTTTTTTCAATATGGTCATGATATATAAATGGTGTGCATATCAGTTTATATTATTTTTGTTGAATTCAGTTAACAGAAAAAAATGAATAACTGAATATGATTGATTATGTAGATAGATACCTTCCAGAAATATTTACATGTACTAGTAGCTGCAGATATGTAGCTTATGTGAAATCAGGTATACTTGAAACTCAATTTACCTGTATTTATTAAACAGAAATTTAGTGAACACATTCATATACCTATGCAGTATTTTACTGAAAATACACTGTCTTAATGTTTTACTTATTCAACATAAAAATTGACCAGGAGTGATCTTAATGAAATAAAACATATCTCACAATATCCCCACCCCAATTTATCACAATTTAAATGTATACCATTAAAGAAAATCTTGAGTTGTCTTTCCTTGTTTAAAGAAAATATCTGATGCAATGAATGCTCCCTTGGGTTCATGACCCTGAATATTAATAAGGTTGGGAGGTGTGACTATAGTCGGTAGGGATGGGTATCGCCAAAAATTTCGTATCGCGATATATTTTTTTCCCACAATATCACGATAATATCATGATATTTTTAAAAGCAGTTTTTACAATGATTTTTTATGAAAAGTCATTATTTTTCTAAACAAATATGCTAGAAAAACAAAATTTTACTTTCTTGAAATTTTTATGCGTATAAAATCAATTATGTTTGGATGGTAAGATGCCGTTCTTTTCACTTTTTACAGCATTTTTATACTTTCTGTAATTGTAATTTGAAAGATTGAACAAATAAATGAATAATTTCTGGACTTTATAATATGTACCTAGAGACCGGTATTTAGGTCTCCGTATCACGTATCACGCAACAAAAAAATCGCGATATACCGGTATACCGATAAAATCGCACATCCCTAATAGTCGGCCCCCTTACGTTTTGAAATAAAAATCTCTAGTATGAAAGATTATAGTTTTATACTTCTTGCAAAATTTTTATATAACCTCCATTAAAATAGTTATGTAGATTGCAGCTAATATGTGTATTTCAAATAGATAAATGCACTGATTGTACTTAGTTAACCTGTTTAAGAAAAATAAATAAGCGAGAGGTTATCACACACCATAAATTAAAAAAAATCTTTTGCATGTTTTACAGAACATTTAAGGAATTAATGGGTAATGTCGTTGGTTTTGTTTTCCTTTCTTTTTATTTATAATGTTCTCTTTTTATGTCTGCATGGAGTTCCACGTTTCTACGTTGAATTTCAAAATCTACATATAATAATGTCAACTCGATGTTGCGCTTTTAAGTTCTGCACAAATAATGATACCAAGATAATAAGATGGAAAAAGCAGACATGTGAAATTTATCACATTCAGTATGGATTGGACTGCGTTTGTGAGCCCCATTCCATCTCTACCCATTTCCAACTGAACTGAAAGATAATCATTCAAGACAAAACTGGGCAAGCATCCTGAACAGGAAGAACGGGTCAGAAGACTGGAAAGCCAAAGAAGATATCAGGGTTTGTTTTGAGCATTTCTTAGATATCAGGCCAACTCCTGCAAATCCCTATCCAACACTGAAATTAGGCTACACACCACACAAGCCAATTACCTCGATACCACCATCTAAGGAGAGATCAAAAACAGTCTTCCAGACTAATCAAAGAAAAGGAAACTGGAATTGACAGACCTTTCTATTCCTCAGAATTCAACCTCAGACCTTTTTGAAATGGAACAAAGTTTATGCGAAGGAACTTCTGGAGGAGCCAATATTTCTTCAAATGACAATGATACAAAGAAATGCCTATTTAGAGCCAAAAATTTAACCTTGATTCAAAGTCAAAGGAAAAGTAATCGGTACCCCTCAAAAGATTTTCTTTAATGGCAGTTATGAAGTCTGATGCAAAAGTAAAATTTTACACAGGTTTACCCACTCTGGCATCTTTTATTGCAGTGTATAAAACAATACTCCTTTATCTTCATAAAGTGCGCTAGTGGAAGGGTCCAAAAAGGCTATGTTATTCCCTGAAACCAATTTATCGTGCCATTTACGAACAATCAGTCCAAATGAGGAAATGATATTATGCATTGTGAAACTCAGATTAGGGTATCTGAATGAAGATGTTGCAGACAAGTTTGGTGTCTCATCTACTCATGTATCTAGACGTATGTTTACTACTTGAATAAGACTCCTGAGCTCAGTGCTTGGCACATTGGTATTTAATCCACCCAGCTTGCAGAGAAATTGTTATATCATCCCTCATCTTTCCAAAACAACACTTACAGATATGTCCGACATATTATCGACTGCAGAAATTTTTATTGAAACCCAAAATACTACTAGTACTTTGCAGGTAGCAGCACAATCTTGGAGTGACTACAAACACCACCATACCGCAAAAATATTGGTGAGTATTACTCCTGCAGGAATGATTAACTTTGTTTCAGAAGCATGGACAGGTCTGCACGTGATAAGTTTGTGACAGTGAACTCTGGTTTTCTGAATATAATAGAGCCATGTGACAAGGTAATGGCTGATAGTGGTTTCCCAATAATAGAAGAGCTCACCTTGTTAAGAGCTGAGGTCTTGATTCCCCATGGTAAACGTGGGGTTTCTCAAATGCCTGCCACAAATGTTTCAAAAATAAAAACCATAAGAAACAGGCGCATACATGTGGAACAGGCAATACAGCGTAAGAAGCCGTTTCACATTTTAAAAAATGAAGTGCCAATTACACTTTTACATCACATAGATTATCCAGTCAAAGTCATTGCCGGCATTTGCAATTGCTACCCACCACTGTCATGATATTAAGGACACTTGCCACAAAGACCAAAAATTTAAGGACTTGTATATTTCTCAATAAATTATAATTTTATTCATTTGTCAATATTTTAGATTAAAAGTTTTACCATACATAAATAATCTGATTTATTTGATTTACATTTACAATAACATTTAACGTATGTACATGAACTTTTATATTTTAAATTTTTATAGGTGTTTGTATGTAGCAAGTGACCTTAATTCTAAGAACTAGATTTTGTCATCCCTTGAATTTCAAACTCTGGAATAACCATTGAATCAATTGTATTGACCATTATTATTTATCACCATTATATAATTAAGATAACAACAAAACAATGAACAATAATAACAATTCATCAAATTTTCTTATTCACAAATGTGTTCTTACTGCAGTTAAGAAACATGTACTTACTGCAGTCACAACTGTCACATAAATGAACATTAATTTTTGAAGTCTTTCTTTTATAAAAGGACTTCCTATAAAAGATATATAATTTGATTCAAAGTTCATACTTTTTACACCAAGAATAAAATCATTTTCTCTGTTTTAGTTCTCAGTCATATTCTTTGTTACAATTCTTAATAAATACTTAAGAATCTCTGATCTTGCAAAATGGTATTTTTCATCTTCACATGTACAGGCATATTATGAAATACAAATCCGCTCTGTTATAACCTCAAGTTCGAATATCATTTGTTTTACAAGTTTGACACATCCATGTGGAAGTGCTATTCAAAACTGACTTTGACATACCCAAACATTTAAAATGATACCAGTAGTTATGTATATATCACAAAAAATACTACGCTGTCCAAAGGATTTCACATTTTCTTGCTCATAAATCTGATTTTTACAAATCAAACAAAAATAACTATCTCCACTGCTTCCAACTTCCATTGGTGTAGCAAGCATATCTTGCTTTTCAATAATTTTTGGAACAATGAATGATTTAAAAATTAATCAAATTTACCTGTACATCTGCATAATACTCTTCCTCAAAATTAATTCTTTTGAATAAACAAAAAGTCACACCACTAGCGCTTAGAAATGGCCATTTGCCCTTTAACTTGACAAAAATATCTATGGTTTTTTTTAATCTCTAATTTACCATCAGTAACAGCTGCTAAATGACAATTTGGCAAGTTACAAGTACAAAATGCAGAACATGAACTACATTTGGGTTTTAAGGTAGGTTTCACCTCTAATAGCCCTTCTCCGCAACAGTCGCATGATACCAACATATAGGGACTGGCAGTTGAAAAAGAGAGACTACGATCTAAAATAAAACCCAAAGAAAGCAAGAAATCCCTTTATGAACAAGCTATAGTCATTCAATTATATATATGTTAAAGATTTTCTTTTAATGCTATGGGGCAATGATTTCTCTTACTGTTGAACATAATGCTTTGATTTGTTAGACCTGGTTTTCTCTGATGAAAACGCCATCGAACAGGCAATCACTCTCATTCTCAATAAAGATAACTTAAAACAAGAGGCCCAGGGGCCACATCGCTCACCTGAGCAAATCGTCTTGGGAAAAAAACACAAATCAGATCAGAATTGAAAAGTTTACTGAAGGGGGAGGGGGGGGGGGGGCCTAAAAGCCGCTTGAATTTAATACATGTACCGGTACTACTTTAGAATTCCTTCACATTAATACAGCATATGACTTTGCTGTTCTTGATAAAAAGATTTTTTAAAAACATTTTCTTCCTATAATATCACTTATCATTGCTTTGAAGTACTTAAGAAGACGATTTTCCTATAAATTCCTATGTAAAACTTTGATCAGCCATTGTTGCCCCATCCTGCATCCGAGGATCATGATTTGTACAAACTTGAATCTACACTAACTGAGGATGCTTCTACATGAGATTCATCTTTCCTGGCACATTGATTCTTGAGGAGAAGATTTTTAAAATGTTCCCTATATACTCCTATGCAAAACTTTGATCGACCATTGTGGCCCCACCCTACCCGGGGGGGGGGGTCATGATTTGTTCAAACCTGAATCTACACCACCTGAGGATGCTTCCACATGAGTTTCATCTTTCCTGACCCAGTGGTTCTTAGGAAGATTTTTAAAGATTTTTCCTATATCTTCCTATGTAAAACTTTGATCGGCCATTTTGGTCCCACCCTACTCCCGAGGGTCATGACTTGAACAAACTTGAATCTACACTACCTGAGGATAATTCCACATAAGTTTCATCTTTCCTGGCCTAGTGGTTCTTGATAAGAAGATTTTTAAAGATTTTTTTCTATATATTCCTATGTAAAACTTTCATCGGCCATTTTGGCCCCACCCTACCCCCGGGGGTCATGACTTGAACAAACTTGAATCTACACAACCTGAGGATAATTCCACATAAGTTTCATCTTTCATGGCCTAGTGGTTCTTGAGGAGAAGATTTTTTAAAAATGCCATTACTTTTTCTCTTATTCATGATTATCTTCCCTTGGAAAAGGGTGTAGCCCTTCATTTGAAGAAACTTGAATCCCCTTCACGCAAGGATACTTTGTGGCAAGTTTGGTTAAAATTGGCCCAGTGGTTCTTGAGAAGAAGATGAAAATGTGAAAATATTACGACGACGACAACGACCACAACGACGACAAACAACAAATTTTGATCAGAAAAGCTCACTTGGGCCTTCAGCTCATGTGAGCTAAAAACTCTTACTGGATTATTTTGTCTCGGAGATAAGCTCACTCAGAAAAGAAATAATAATTGAACTCACGTCAAAAATCGACGAAATAGAATAATATTCAAGGTGAAATTCTCGAAAATTAACTGTCATTCCTGAAAAACAAGACGAATCTGCTGATAAACTACCTGTGAATGTCATTAACAACCTTGTTCTAAATGAAAACAATTATAAAATCTCGACCAAAGATTTTTCAGGTCACACGAAGTGGGCAAATACGATCCAAACCGAAAACTAGAGACATTATAGTAAAATCTATTAGATACAGAGATATGGAAACACACGAAATATAAAATCCTACAACCAAAATCCAACAAAACAAATAAGATCCATCTACTTCAACGAAACTTTGACGTCCAGACGAGCTGAACTATATGGAAAAGGTTGCCAAAAGAAAAAACAAAAAAAAAAACATGACGGATGCTGGACGAATGACGGTGGAAGTTATGCAAAACACCGTGGTCACCATGGGAGGAAATATTGATAAACACGACAGATGACCTAAAGTGTTTCCAAGATGAAATTGTATTTTCTATGAAATCAACTTTAATACCATTTTCTTATGTAAACAAAACAAAACTCGTGGCTCTAGAGAGCAACATGTTTTTCAATGAAAATAGACAGAGATGTTTATTCAGTTGGGAGTATGGCTTTCCAGGAAATCTGAAATTTTATTTAAACTTAGATGATATTTCTAAACGAGACAAAAAACCACAATCTGCTTGTAATCAGCTTGTAAAGTACGTAATAATGTTTTCTCAAGTCAATACTTGCTCAACACTTTATGTTTTTTTGAAACTTCTCATATGAACGACGCCGATTTTCTCCACACATTCTGAAGGAACATGTGACGTTGGGTCTATAATCACTTCTTCAAACCTTTCGGCATATCCCCATGCTGTAGAATAACGTGATATGTGACGTTCTCGTATTTCCTCCTTTGTCAGGTCTATAATTTGGGCTCTGTCTTTAAGCTTTGTTATATTTATCCGTACTACCTCTCTTATTCTTTGAAACTCATTCGTTAGGCTTCCTAGCCTCTCTATACCATACAGTGTTTTGCAGCACGAAATAAACCTCGATTCCTGGCCCTTACTTCCCCGATCCACGTGTTGCTGAAGACTAACTCTCGAGAAGATGTTCTTTGGTCTCAGTCCACCGTCATAGGATTCGTTAAATCGAAGGATTTTGTAAATATATTCATCAGGTTCCTGCACTATGCCTCTCTCCTCTTTTAAAACTGGTTCTGACGTAAAAGAATTTTCGACGCTGTTCGCTTCATCATTTTTAATTCCCTGAAATTCCTGCTCAACTAATGTATCGGAATTTTCTTTTCTGTTCCCATCATCCGTGTAAATCGCCTGTGATTCATCTTTATCCACTTTCTCTGTATTCCCAAAGATTGGAAATATTGACCTATCTCTTTCTCCTATCGGGTGTTCCTTTTCTATTGGTTTCTTTATTGAGCCTCTACCAATGCGCAAGTAGGTTTCGTCATTGCTAATTCCTGTAGCAGTTTCCTTGTTAGTGGTTTTTGACGAGTGTGAGAAATCGCTCTTTAGTGATTCGGCATCGTTCCTGATCAAATACTGAGAAATATCTAATAGTATTACTTTCAATTTTTTGTTTAATTTTTCATTGTGTGCCTTAGATCTTAAAAAATAACGTTCTAGACCGAACTTCTCCGTTGTTTTGTCTTTGTTCCTCTCTTTTTGTTGTCTGTTCCCGTTTTCAAAAATAAAATTTTTCGTGACGAATAAAGATTTCAAAAATTCAATTGTGTGAATATTGCCAAATATTCTTTTGATATATTAAGACGTTGAATAAAAAAAGATGTAAAAAAAGACAGAAAAAGACACGAACGGCTTGTGTTTGAATATCATTCCTATCCTGACTGAACATAAGCGAGTTTAAACTCGAGTTAAAACTTTTCTTTTTACAGATTTAAGATTATTTTTTACATACCTCTCCTTCTTAACCCTAGACTTACAGGTCTAGTCATTTCATACTCAGTTGTAGCATCCATGATTTCAAATAAACCCCAAA